CTAAGAGTGGGTGGGAGTGAGATGAGAGCAAAAAAATAAAAAAACAAAGATCCAAATGCCCTCTCACCTTTAAAACGCTTTAAGACTGAGCTCAAGCTGTATTATGGCTCTGAAAATCCACACAGGGACATTTGAAACAGAGCGATAAATGGGCCAAACTTGCCCCCCATGAGGCTCCAAATGTCATAGTTTACACTAGGGTCAAAGTGAAGCAATGGGGTGTCATGATGGCATGCTGATAAAACCAAACAGGCTTTTCTGTCAGTGAAAGACCTTCAAAAGTCCTCTTAAGAAACAAAATAATATTAAAAGGGTAACTTTGTGAAACTACAATAGTTTTAAAAATCTGCTATGTATCAGATATCAAAGTACGGAAGTTTATTGATGAAAAGATAAATCTTGTTATTGGAAGGGGGGAAAAAATTGAGAGGATTGATACTGACTGCAACAGCTGAAAGCTGTAAAAATCTGTGTGTCTCTGGAGAAAAATCGGACACCCTCAATTCTGTAAGTGTGCCATGCCAAAAAAACTCTAAAGTAAAGAGTGGCCAGCTGTCTTCTGGCCTGCTATTAAATTGCTCCTTGGATGGTGGCGATATCATTTTTTTCTCCATAGGAGTATCACACCAGGTCCCCAAACAGAGCGACCAGCTGTACAGCAAATGTGTACTGATCCATCTGGGCCCTGGTATGCTGCAGCCTCCATCTTAAGACACGTGGGGCCATTCACAGCCTTGGCTTGGGCTGGTCGTCAGCACACCCAATTTTCAACCGTGGCCTCCCCCTTCCCTTTCATTTACCTCCATTAAAATAGTAAATGTTGAGTAGCTGAGCTCCAGATCCACCCTTTATGCCTGAACCAGGACCCTCATCTTCCAGCTGTAATATCCATGCATCAAAATGCTCTGGCAGTCTTACAGAAGAGGCAGCTACAACCACTTCGCCCTAATGGGAGGGGGTGAAGGTGGGACTCATTACATTTGCTTCGGAGACACTATTGTATTACACAGGCAGCTAATAAGAATGTGTCTGAGTGAGACAGGCTCGGCTTCTGTTGTTCCATACACTTAGTAGTATAGTTATGTCACGACACATCACTATATATAGAGTTATCAGTGTGAACTGATACCATGGAGCGGTGCATGGACGAAAACAACACCCCTATGAATCCAGCGTCTGCTCCATTACCTACGCTAATAACGCTGACAGCTGAGCGGAGATGACCCCCGCCCCCTGTTTCCCCTCTCCTGTGCAGATGGCCATTAAAAGGAGAGAGTGTCCCTTTTTTCTGTGGAGAAGGTATTTAGAGCTTTTTCCAAATGAGGTTTTTATTTTTTTATTTTTTTTTTAGAACTGCATTAACTTTGCAGTGATAACAGAATAAAGACTGAATTATATTCAGCACTTAAAAAAACACTAATACAAACAGTATTCCCTCCCATTTAACGTTCGTTCCAAATTTAAATGTAACACAAACTTAATATACTGTCAAAACAATTTAAAAATAAGTGAACATTACTTAAAATAAATGTATTTTGCCCTAATTTGAGTAGGTAAGTAAGTTGATTTGCCCATGGAATGAGTTTACTACTCTTAAAATAAGATAAATAGATAGTATGCACTTGATATAAGACAATTTAATTGTTTTTTTTTTTCTTATTTAAATGTATATTGTCTTGTTCCATTTGCAAAGTGTCTCACTTACCTCCTCAAATAAAGAACAAATGCACTTATTTTAAGAAAAAAATACTTATTTAGATTTCTTTTTTTATTTGTCTGGATCCATTTGTATTCAGTTACAACCAATTTACTTAAGGTTGGGTTATGCTTGTGTGGAAAATGAGCCACACATCTGAAGGGTTTATACTTTTTTGAGGTTTTCCCGGCATTCTTGTCAGTTTCTTGGTACACTAGGAAGTAGAAAACACAGCCATTTGCAACGTTTTCATAGTCTCTTCATGCTGTCCAAGAGCAAATGTCATTTCTTTGCAAGAGATTTTTAACAATCTGCTAAGAGTGGTGATATTTACGGGTTAAATATAGGAGGTTTCTAGATGTCTACATTTGCAAAGCATCACTGGTAGAATCTGTTGCTCGTTCACCGTGTTTTTTGCACTGATCTGTCTGCACTGTTAAAAATTTGGTGTGGTGCGGAAATTCTGTCTGCACCGATGCCGTCAGAGGGGCATGGAAGCCAAAAATAATAATTTAGGCATATGGACCTCGCAAATGCTTCAAGCATAAACCGCCTTAAAGCTAATAAGGTCCACCTGAATGAAAATAGAACAATTCTGTAAAGATTCCCGAAGATTTCAGATTTCATGTCACAATGACCAAGGAACACATTGGGCAGGTCATGGATAACGGTTTAGAGGAGTTTGGAGCAAAGTTAGATTATGGTTAATCCATTATCTGAAAACTGAAAGCATGAGATGCAAAGCATAAAAATATGACCTTCAGACTTAACTAACAGCCTAGAAGGGATTTATTAAGAGAAGCAGCCAAGAAGCAACTAATAGTTGCCCCTCCCCGATATCGGTCATCATAACTGAGTGGCAAGAAGAGAGCCAAATTTGATTGGAAGTCATAGGATCCAGCATGCAGGCATGTAGCGGCTACTTCGAAGGTGTCAATGTGGATCATGTTGTTCTTATCAAATGTGACCAGAATTGGTGGAGGGAAACATTGAGCATAAACTTGAAGATGCAAACCCTAAGGTGACATGTGATGGTAACAGTGTCCTGCTGTTGGGGTGCTTTTATTAAGCAGGGAAAATAAAAACCAGTCAGAAAACAGGCAATCCTATTTTTTGGCACAGCAATTATATACAACCAGAGCTAAAATTAGTGTTTTGATGGAAGTATAATCAAGGTTCCAATGCCCAACTATAATCCAGCCCAATTCCAAATTGATATCAGTGGAAGTGTTTGAAAACTGATGTTTACAGACACTCTGTGCCCATTTTGAATGAAATGGATCAATTTTGCAAGGACAGCAGGAGGGGAAAAAACAGTCTGTAGATATGCAGGTGGAGACATATTCCAAATGACTTTTAGATGTAACTGCACCAAAAGGTGGTTCTGCAAAGTATCAACTGGAGACTGAATAGAAAATGCACAAAACTTTTTTGATTTCTATTTATGACACATTTTGAAATCTTGAGCTACTCTTTGCACTAATTAGTGATTTTGTATCATTTTACATTCTACTTAAAGAGATCAATGTTTTATAATTTTTTTGTCACAAAATGTAAAAAGTTCAAATTCAAAAGTTATAAACACTGCAAAATATTGCAACTCATCTATCATGGCATCTTATTATTTATTACGATAACAGTTAAACATGTCTTTTTTCCTTTTCACATTCTCTTTTTGTAAATCTGAATAACTTTTCTTTTTCAATATTTTATACATCATGAACTAAATGGGTCTAAGAGAAACCTTTTGAGAAGTCAAATGAAACCTGTCATCATGCTGAATACTAAGCAATTGCATATCATAGAAGTAAGACATCAGACAATAACCCAATCACCTATCCTCCTGTTATCTTAAGCTCTCTGAATTCCACTATTATGAGGGAACTGTGTGCTTGTGCGGCTGAAAGACATAAAATAACCAGTAGGGGGGTTTGTTTTCTACCCTCCCAGTGTGCTCCGTGACTGCCTTTGCGAGAGAAAGGACTAATGCTGGCATGGTACTGTATTAGGCACCCCCAGTAGACTAGTGGGTGAGCAGATCGCAAAGATGAATACAAAACACACACCTACACACCCTTAGCTCGTCTCTCTCTTTTGCAAATACGCCGCAGAATCAAAATCACAAATCACATGCCTCTGATTGTTTATGCACAAACAGTGGGCCCCTGATAGAATTGCCTACCAGTCCTGAAAGAATTGCCCACCGTGTTTAAATTCACCTGCGCCTAGAAGCGTGTCCCAAACAGAGAGGCGGTTTGGTTCCAGATCAATGAGTCTCTCCCCCACTGAAGACAACAGATAATGCAGTGTAATGAAAGAGCCGCCAAACGAGCTGAATAAATGAATGAATAAAGGAACGTGAGAGTGGAATTCAGACGCCTACTTACTGCAGGCAAGAAAACCTGTTTTCCAATTGTCTCCACTCTACAAATTATTCTGCCTGCATACAAATGGCAACCAAAAGTGAAGACATTTTGAAAATGTGGAGATTGGTTTTACACTGGCACTCACAGCTTAGAAATTGCGTAAAGAGAAGGCATAAATTTGTAATTTCTGGTATAACACACTATGTCTTTTATTTTCAGGTTGGTTATGTGCAGTCAAATGCACATAATATCAAAATAAGATAAATCTAAGTGGAGTGCTGATGTAAAAAATGCATCCAATGGATATGTTTAACAACAAAAAAAGGTATGGGGATGTAGATTTCTATTCTATGTAATAATTTTGGAAAAAATTAAAAGCTTTTCAAGTATTTTCAAACAATCCCTGAAGAATTTGTTGGCTACTGAAAATATTAAAGATATTCAGCTTTATAGAATAATTCTGAATGGAGATATTCTCCAACCACAAGCATGCAAAACCAGTAACATGCATGGAAAAATTACACTGGTAAGAAAATAAAAGCACAACACTGAGGATGCATTTGATGGTCAAAATATTAAAATAATTCCACCTATTTGGTGATGTGATCCGGCCACTTGTGAGCCTGAATGAGACAGGGTCAAATATTTCAGTATTTAATCATAAAGTTTAATATACTGCATAATTCATCCTTTAAAAAAACTCTAAAATCTTTCTGTAAGTGTTAAAAATAAATCAGGAAAAAATTGCCTTAATGATTTTGTATATTTTTTTTGGATCCAGTCACATTCCTGAAAACACTTAAATTTCATTCCTCAAGGCCACATTGATTGACTGATTGTACATCAAATCATAGACAAACTGATAAATTACACAAGCCTTGCTGATGCCGAAATGGAAGAGGATACACATTAAATAAAAAAAAAGCTTTCTTTCCTACCCAGCATGTGATTGGCCACATGAACTTGGATGTCCCATTCGCTGTAGAAAACCATCTGACATTTGATGCACTGGTATGTCTTCTTCTATGAATAGGAAAACAGAAATAAAAGACACATTTTGATAGTAATACATTATTTTAAATCAATTTTTTTTATCTTATCTACATTAACCTAAACATAGAAATAGCTAGTAATACCTCCTCAGTCTGTGAGGGACTAGCTCTCGGCATTGGTGACACCTGGGGGGTTTTCAGCTGTGCGCTGTTGCTATCCCCAGCTTGTTCTCGATGGACCGTCTGGACATGGTTTTGCAACTCTGCCTCAGTCTCAAACTTCACATTGCAGCTTGAACAACGAGTCTTGATGGCAGATGAAGAGGATGTAGAAGAGGATGAGGATGATGAAGAAACACCCTTGCCTTTTCCTTCTCCTGGGCTCAAACTTTCCCCTGGTGCCCACATAGCAGTAGATGTAGCAGGGGTTGTGGCCCCACCCTGCTGTTGCCTTCCTCCGTTCACTGTTGGGCTAGAGCTTTTTGAGCCAGCGGCTGTCACACACGATGCACAGAGACCATATGGAAGCCCATTGATGTCAAGCTTCACAAGGTCTAATTTGGACCGGAAATCTTTTAGGCACGAGGCACACTTAAAAAGCTTTTGAGCATGGTGTGGCTGTTGGCTTTGAGCGATGGGATTGTTGCGACCCATAGGCTGGTTGGAGGACATAGTGCCTGTTTTCTGCATGTGAAAGGTACCATGGATCTTAAGCTCCAATGTGGAGGTCACTGTCTGCATGCATACCACACAGCGGAAACCTGTCAGAGAGTTCCTAAGATCAGGGTGCATCTGGCAGTGCTCAAGGAAGTCTTCCTCACTCTGCAGTGGCATCTTACAAATGCGGCAGCTGCCTGTGTCCAGACTCTTGCTATGGGTTACCTTGTGCTCTGTTAGGGTAAGCAAGGAAGGGAAGCGTTCGCCACAAATGGGACACATGTAGTGCTTTACAGGCCCAAGGTGAGTCTGCATATGTTCCCTCAGCCCAGCCTCAGAGAAGAAGGTACGGGAACAGACATTGCACTTGTGATTCCCCTTGATCATTTCAGCTTTTCTTTTGATCATTGCACTTTCGCCGGGGCGGATATTGTGATCTCTTAACTGGTGGTTAGTGAGGAGCGACTCCATGGTGTAAGATGCCCCACATATTTCACATCCATACATGGGTTCTGCAGTGTCCACCTCTTCCTCACTTCCATCATGGCTGTTTTGGGACTCCATCACAGATACTCCTGTTCCTGGACCATGGCTGTTAGTTAAGAGACTTTGGATTTCGTCTTCCTTAGGCTGACCTTCCCCACCACTTACAGTAGAGCCATTAGTGCCACAATTTTGGGTCTTTCCTTCAAACACACAGTGTTTCTCCCTTAAATGCTTCTCCAGAAGGACAATGGCATGAAAGGCCTTACTGCAGAAACGGCAGTTGTACTTCTTACTGTGGGTGGTAATGTGGCATTGCAGCTCTACCTCTGTACCAAAGGACTCGCCACAAAAAATGCATCTGTGGGCACGACCTTGGTTTTCCAGATGGCTGTGTTTGACATGCAGTTGTAGGTCAGTTTCTTGTCGGAAATCCCAGTTGCAGGATGTGCAACGATATACCTTCTTCTCATTGCTATGCTTTACAGCCAGGTGAAGTTGTGTTGACACCTTTGAGTCAAAGACCTCTTGGCACAGAGTGCAACGAAAAAACACAAAAGTATGCATGTCGAGAAGGTGCTTTTGCAGGTCATCCACTGAAGTGAACTGCTTGTCACAGCTTTCACATATGTAGTAAGTGGAGGTAATCGTAAAGTGAATTGTCACATGCTTGAGTAAGGATTCTTGGTTGGGGAATTCTTTGTTGCACTGGGGACAAGTCAGCTGAGGCTGTAAGCCATCCAAATGAGTTTTGAGGTGAGTCTGGAAAAGATCTAAACTTGTATACTTGGCACCACATTGGTTACATATAAACTCACTTGTATTACGTGAGGCAGATCCCCCTTGTTTTAGCATGGCAGTTTGTTCCACAGATATTGGAGAAGAGGGGCTGAGAGTGCGTAAAGATTTCTTTCCATTGTTGATGTAGTTCAGAGCCAGAGGTATGTTCTTGTGGTTCTCTTTTATGTGCTTGTTGAGTTTTAAAACACTGTTGAAAATGGGAGAGTTGGTGCAATATGAACAGGAGTAAACCTCTACTATAGGCTCCTTGGGAGTAACAGCCAAAGGTGAGTCAAACCGCAGGCTTCCTCCATCACAGTGTGTCTGACGAACATGTTCCTCTAATGTAGCTTCAGTCAAAAACCCCATAAAGCATTGGGGGCAAAAGAAGGCATTGCTCTCCTTGGCAACTGGACTGGGAAAACCATGGGAGCAGCGGATGTGCTCCTGGAGGGCATTAAGGTCACTTAACACCTCAGGGCAAAAGTTACACTGAAGGAGGGCATCTGGCAGGCTGGCTAACAGGGCAGCATGGTCTTCTGCATTGTGAATCTGTTTAAGATGCTCGTTTAAGTTTAACAGTGACGGAAGAACCTCCAAACAAAACTGGCAAGTATGAGCCTGCTCTGGCTTGTCGAGATGCATGGTTCGTAAGTGTATTTGAAGAACAGCTAGGCTAGAAAACACTTGTTTGTTGCAGTAAATGCAACTGTAGGAAATCTTAGGCTGTTTTGAAGACCTCCCTCCCAAGTCAGATGTGTTCTGAGAAGCTCTTTTCCTCCTTCCTCTGGTCTTTGCCACAGGTGGTGCTGTCTCCACCATCGTGGAGCTGTCAACAGAAAGGTTGGAGTCAGGAGTGGTGCTGGAGACAGACGTATAGCCCACAGTAAGTAAGGAAGGACTGTTGCTATGATTACTGGATTCAGGGAGCTGATGGATGTCCATATGAGCATAGAGGTCCTCAACAGACAAAAAATGCTCTGAGCAGATGGTACAGGTGTGGCCCTTCCTATCTCTGCTGTGGGCCTGGTCAATATGGGTTAGCAGGGCACTCTCATCACTAAAAGGCTCGTGACAGTAAATGCACTGTAAGGTAGCCCCAAGTCCTCCGTCTTCAGATGGAGAACATTCAGGGTGACACTCTGCGATATGTCGCTGTAGCTCTTCAGGGACATCAAACCCTTCCTCACACCGACTGCACTTTCGAGTTTCTTTTAGTTTCCATTCGTCAGCTCTATTGAAGCCTGAACTGCCACCATCTTTCCCCCTTTCATGTACTTGCATGTGGCCATGGAGGGAGCTGGAAGAGAGGAATCCTCGACGGCACACAGGGCACTTGTGGGGTTTGTTGGAGGCGTGGGTTTTCATGTGGATTTTGAGGTGATCACTACGGGAGAAGGCGGAATCACACTCTCCACAGTGGTACTTCTTATCACCTGTATGAAGCTTCACGTGTCTATCTCTGCTGCGCTTATGTTTAAACAAGCGGCTGCAAAATGTGCAACTGAAGGGGAGCTTATCACCGTGACTCTGCTCGTGGCGCTTGAGGAAGCTTAAGCGGCTGAAGGACTTTTCACAGAACTGGCATGGATAAGGCAGACCAGGGCCTCCTTCTTCCTCTCCAAACTCATAGTCCTCACAATGTCCTGGAGAAGTCTGATCTTTACTAGAGGGAGATGATGCAGGCCAAGAACAAGATGGGTCATCCTCAAGATCAGCACCATCTGGAGAAGATAAAAAAAGAAAAGAAAAAAACAGTGAGTAAGCAAGGTGTTGTCTGTGGGTCATATCTATTCAGTTCTGTCATCTTGATAGAAATGGTGGAGAACCATTGTTAGTAGTCTGAGTTATTATGAGGCATTGGTGAATTAATTTAAATTTCTTTATAGTGCATTTGATTTTTTCTCCAGCCTCTTAAGCTGAAACAATGCCTCTCCTTAGGTGTTATCTGAAAAGTAAAATCTAAATATGTAATTTAAAAATATAATTAGAGAAGAGAATAAGTGGAAATACTTTCAGTACAATTAACCTTGTATGTGGCCATGTAATGGCTTAGCCCACTGTGATTCAAAACACAATCTCTTTGACATTTAAAGCCAACACAAGACAATCGGTGTACTTTAGGATGAAGGCCCAGCATGAGGTAAATTAGAACGTTTCTATTATTCCTGAACACTCATTAGAATATTTCTTTAAAAAAAGACCCCATCAAAGAGCCTTAAGAGCAAAAAAAAACAGAATTCTGTTTTTAAGAAACAATAAAAAGAAAAAATTGGCAACTTTAAGCACAGTTATGAAAAAACTAAAACACTTTGTACATTCCTTAAAATTAATCAGAACACAATGTAATATATTTTTTTTAATGGTGTATGCTTAACTGTTAAGCAGAACTCTTAAGGGATGAGAGAATTGTGAGCTATAGGACAGGGGTAGATTTGGAGAGGACACGGAAGAGGAAATGGAGACGCAAAATATCCTATTCAAGGCCAAACAGGTGCAGAGACCAGGCAAATAATAAAAAAAGGTCTGTATTCTTTTTTTTACAATTAGTTGAAAGTGTCCCTACATGAATTGTCTCACTGCCAACATTCCAATTCAGTGACTCATTGTATGCTGATATGAATGGAAAACACAGAAGGTTACTTTCTAAAGGTTCAAAGGGTTACAGACCACTTCTTCCCGCTGCTGAAATCTAAGTGCTGTGAACTTCCTTACCCAAATAACAACTTAATCACAACCCTTTAAAAAAAGAAATAAAAAAATCTGTGTCAAAAGGCCATAAATTGGACTGGAAAAAAATAAGAGGAAACTGCTAAGATTTATGAGAAGGATGGAGGAAAAGCATACGCTCTTTCCAGGATCCAACCACTTTCCACTCTGAGCTGAGATATCTAAGTCTCTCACCCTCTCGTTTTCTCGCGATCTCCATGTCTGTTGTTTTTTTTTGTTTTTTTTTCTGTGAGATCTGCCCTTTGTCAGGATATCATGCCCTCTCTGAACACTTACCCCCATCAGGGCCTATCTTCAGGAAACAGATGGGGTCGGAGGCCATTCCCTTGCCCCTCCATAGTGCTGAAAGCTGCACATTGAGAGCCCACCTCCACACCGTGGCCCTCCCGGAAACCTCCCACCCCTGGCAAGGCGCCCACTCTACACACACATCTCACTCAAGGAGCGAACCTTGCCTTATTTACTCGCTTTATCTCCCATCCATGTCTCAATGTTTTCTTTCTCTGTGGTTTGAGGGAGGATGAGTGACTCAGTGCGATGCCCTCCTCCACAGAGGGGGTGGATCTGCCCTATCTCGTAGCACCTCTCAGGGTACAGAAGAAGAAGACAGTGCAAGAAAAATGACCTCAGCCAATGCCTTACAGTCAAACATATTGGCTTGGAGACAATAGTATAAAACAAACAAATAAATGGGTCTGTATACAAGGCTAAATGAAATTCTACTGCCTTAAATGAGGATGAATTTGCCTAGAGACATTTCAAAGCTGTCAGGATAACTTTCTTCCATGCTGATGTTTGTTTACATGATGTACATTATTTGTTTAGTGACTTTATTTAATGACAGACATAAATAAAATAATGTCTGCCTATAGCCCGAGGGAACTGCAAGCAGTTCTTGAGTTATATTAATAAAAAATATGATGTTTGGATACTTAAACTGATTATAGCAGAGTTGAAAAAATAAATCTTAGAATTTAACAGTGTACCTAATTTGCACCTACTACAGATCATCACTCTTAAAAACTTGAGCTTTGTGGGTCCATAGATACAAAAGCTTCATTATTTTTCTATCAGTAAATCACAGACATTTCTAAAAGCTAACTCTGCATTGACTTAGGACTCAGTGCTCTCAATGCTGATTTGATGAAATAGCTGTTTGTATCTTAGTTGGGGTTACATTTCATGCAACTGAAACAAATTTTTGAGGAGTGATAGCTAACACTGTTTCTTTCCTTTGTTAGTTGTAAAATAACTCAAACAAATAGCTCAAACAATTTCTGATGAGAGTTTCATTAACTACCCAACATATTTTATTTACGTAATCTTAATTTTGTTTTATACATTTATGCAATTTATGTGAAGATGATTGGAAAAATGTAATTAAGTCTAGGTGTGGTGAGTGGACAATGGGCTTCCCCCTAAGTGGTTCGCCAAATGTCCTTCCCTCAAGACCTTAGTCTTGGTTTGCAGAGTAGTCATTTTTTTCATTTTCATCAGTAAGTTGAACTCAGTTCCTTGAGGTATTTTTTTATTTATTTTTTACTTTAGAAAAATGACAAAAAATATCCTGGCCGTCTTGATTCCTCAATGTGTCCAACTACCATAAACGCAAGAGTACGAGGAATCCAAATAAAGAAATGGGTTCTTTCCCATGATGTAGGCCTTTCTTTGCAAGGTCATAGATAGAATTGAAGGCTAATAGAAATCTTTCAAATTAAAACACAATTTGAGCAAAATTAGAAAAAAAATGGATTTATGGAAGCTAAATTGTACAAAAAAAAATGTCATACTTATAACTAACGATCCCAAGTGGTGAAAGCTGATGGTTTTACCATATACTTCACAATCCTTTAACCTAAACATCATTCCAAAAAAGATGGCGACACATCAATCGGTGCATGCAAGACAAGAAGCCATTTGCAGGAATCACAAGCCAAACTTTGAATAAGAACTGAAAGACAATGAAAAGACAACAAAAGGCACCATGCAGGATGGCAAATGTTTACTTTTGGAACTAAAATATCAATTAAATAAAATGGAAGGGAATTTATTGAATATGTGCAATTATTAATTGAATGATATAAAATTTTAAGCACAATGTATATCCAAGATCGGATCATAAAAAAATAGGCTTATAGGTAAATTTTAAAGCAATGCGTTATTTTGTCCTTCACCTATATACACAGGCAGTCAGTAAAACAACAGCTATATTCTACCAATGCACACAGTTGTCCAAGAAAACTTATATGTGTTCATGTCATGCACAGGCATCCACAGACAGAAAAGCAGTGGCCGAAAACAAGTGTGTGAACAACTGCAGATGAAAGAACAATCTTCCTCTGGAGACAACAAGAGGAAAGAAAGAGAGAGACTTGTTTTCTTTTCCTTCTTCACCCAGACAAGAAATGCCCAGGCCTCTGCAGCAGCCTGAGTAAATAAAAGAACGGGCCTTACTTCCCAGTCTCTCGGGCTGGGGGCCTGTGCACGCCAGCGCTCTCTGTGCTGTTGCCAAAGGGGATGCTGGGGCCTGAAAAACTACACCCTGCAGCTGAAAGGCTGGCTTTGTTGGCCTGCCAAGGCCTTCCTGAGCATCATCAAGCCAACAGCCTGTCACGTCCTGTGAGGAAGACCTCCATCTTAAGGCCTGTCCCTCAATGGGAGTCCCCCTCCCCACACATTTTATTTTTTTAAAGGCCTCCTGTACAGAAAAAAACTCTTAAAAACAGCCCACTGTAGAAAATGATCAAAATGAGCCAAAGCCATATTTATTGAATCTCTAAGAAAAAGCTAACTAAGCTGTAGTACATCAAAGCTGTCTAAAAGGTAAATAAAAAAATATGCTTTGTCTGCAGTTTCTAAGATGTCAATTTCATCAGAAGGACATCTGCGGGCTTGTACCAATTAATTATATCCTAATAGTTGAGGCATAGAAAACATAATAAAAATCCCCTTCTCACACGCAGCCTTCAGTTTCCTCTTAACCAGTCTGAACTCCTCTTTGTGCTTCACTTCCTCCGTGTTCATTTATAGCACCTTCCCCTAAGTAAATATTCTTGCACAAATAAGAGTCTTAATCCAAGGAAAAGGTAAGTTTGCCTTTTTAGTACACAGTGGCACAGCTTTCGAAAGCCCAGAGGAATGCTTATTCATGCAATTAGATATTTTGAGAATGAGCCACATATACAGATATGTTTTCAAGAGATAAAGTCATTATTTATCCTGATGACATTCTTTCCCATTTGGTTTGTGTTACATATGGCAGCACAGCTGTCTAAAAGCTAGAGCTGGAATTGATTCCAGCTTGGAAATATTGTTTACTATATGTTTTTAGCTATTTAAGAAAAAAGCAGGAGGAGATGAAGGATAAACACCGCAGAAAAAAAACTGGTCCTCGTTATTTAAGATTCCATTTACAAAATATGATTTGCTTCTCTTTTTTTAAAACAAAATAAAGCTATGTTCATTTCAAACACATAAAAAGAGCACATTTATAAGGTATTACATTTGTAAGGTGACGGGGAATGTATATCTTATTATAAATACCATCTAAGGCAAGCATTTGCATTTAGCCCCATATGTCTAATCATTTGTCTGAAAAAGTTGCCATATCACCTGATTTGTCGCTTTAAGTCCACTTTTTTGTAACTGAGTCTGAACAGATTATGGTCATACGTTCTGCCACATTCAGAACAGTAATAGCGGTTATGGTGGTGGCAGCAACATGATGTGGGCAGGGTATTCCTAAGGAATAAGTTTAAAATAAGTGTCAACAAACCTAAATTAAACTCTGAATTTAAAAGAACCGCTTAAAAAAAATTAGAAAAAAACCCAAAACTTTTTTTACATATTGCTTGGCAAATGTATTAACATGCTGCTATTAAACTACCACCAAAAAAGTCATGTCACATCTTGAAATCTCTATTAAATTAGTTTCTCAATCAATATGTACTATTCCCTCATATTTTAATCCTGAAATGTTGCTTAAATTGACAGG